TGCACTTCGAGGCTCACCAAGTGCTGTGCCTGTCACGAAATCTGCACTTCGAGGTTCACCAAGTGCTGTGCCTGCCACGAAATTTGCAAACGAGCCACATGTCCAAAAGTCACAGTTCACTGCACCTGTCACGAAATCAGAGCTCTTCGACGACCACCACCACGTCCAAAGTGCTGCACCTGCCACGAAAACTGCATTTCGAAGTAAAACAGCTCCGATCCCTTGCACCTGTCACGAAAAGTCGACTTTGGAGCACCAAAACACGAGGTTTCCCTTGCACCTGTCACGAAAAGTCACCACCATGTACCGAAATGCGCACGGCACCACAACGAGAGCGCAGTCGCCTGAGGCACCCGCCGCCGGCCCCCAGACTTTGTGAGCCTGCGCAGTCGAAATGCACATGGACGATGTCGAGAGTCATGAATGTACTGTAAATACGAATCAGCCGCACACGCCCGCGCGCTTCAGCGATCTAAGCCCCAGCTACGCCCCAGCTGCTTTTCACCTACCCGAAGAACCCCTCAGTGTGCCCACACTGTTTGGGGAAAAAACTTGGCTCGTGCAACCACACAGATTCAGATCCACAGACAGCAATTGCAAGTTCAGGCGAAACGCCGACACCCTCGTAGTGAACGTCATCAACCCTTCGTTTCCGTCCCCCCTTCGAGTTGGAGTGAGCTCTGCTTCCAATAACACAAGCCATCTTCGCCATGCGGTGGCCCACATGTTTGCCGATTTGCAAAAACCAGGAAAACATCTTCGCCCTGGGGAAGGGTTTAGGATGTTTAGGGTTTAGTCAAGTCTGTCTATCTCTTTCGGACCATCACCCAGACACTCCATGGGACTGCAATATATGCCATTGAACTCCCTGGCACCACCCCTGGCCATTTCTCGACTATGGCAGTCCCAGATGCCGGTCGACTCGTCATGGATCCCATCACCAGTCTTCTCCCCGGTTCTCCCCGGTCTTCTGCGCTCCGCGTTCGTTCAGCCGAACGCGTCCGTCGACCGCGTTCGCCGCGTCCGTCGACGTTCGTTCCCGGCAACCGTGTTCGCGAAGGCCTTCAGTCGGGTGAGGGATTTCACCAACGAATCCTCCGGGAGGCCGCACTGGTACGCCTCATTGGGGCCTAGGTCATCGAACATGAAGCTCTTTTCGGTCCCGCAGCCATGCTATCTAAGGATAGGTCGTGAGGGTTGTGGTGGTCGATAGGTCAAAGTGGAGGGTTTTGGGATGTGGAAGGCGGAGAAAATCCCACCGGTTCCGCCGGATGCTTTGAGCAAAGCTGCGATGTGGAAAGCTTCCCAGACACGACCGACGTGGGACTGGCTATATTGATATTGACTCAGGGCCGGGCTTCCCTTGAAACCCATCCCAACCAGAAAAGGATCTCAATGGCCATATGTTTAACCATGTTTACTTCCTGGTAGGGACTGAGTTTCCGAAGCACCTTTTTCTGTTTCGTTCGCCCGTCTGCCGAGGCCGCGACCCGGTCGTCTTCGGTCCAGTCGACGGCGGAGCAATAACTTCCCGACGTTCCAAGACTTCACGTGCCGCTCGAGCGGGCTGGGTGACTCTGCGCCGAACTGGCGTTCGCTGGGGCGGAATACACATCGACTGGCCGACAGACAGCTAAACCCTTTTTTCGGAACCGTTCGGAGAACCCATTCGATGTTGGGTGACTCACGTTCAGGTGGGCGTTCAGGTGAACCCTCGATTGGAAATAATGGGAGATGCCACGAATCAGCGTGATGATCCTTTCTGAACCAACATCCTTTGGCCGAGACCTTCTTGGCCAGAGCGAGGAAAAGCCCTCCGAGTTTAATATGAGGCGAGGTCTTACAACCCAAATGAGGGGAATCTTACAGGTCTTATATAATAAATTAAATCAATTCATTCAGTCTACATCATGTGACAAAACTGCAGGGGAGACCATTTTGCCGAACTTCCCATCACGACATGCGCCGTAGTTCAAGCGAGGACTGTCAAGCCCATTCAGCAAGTGCTTCATTTCTTCAGCTATGGGAAGTCCAGTGGTACCATTTACATCCATTTACAGTGGTTTCAGACGGCACTGCCGCCCCAAGATGTTCTGAGATGAGGGGTCCACAATTGCACCAACCACACCGAACTTGGGGGCGGAAACGTGCCATCGAACCTCTGAAACCACTGTCGCTTCTTCAAGAAAATGCCACCAAACGTGACGGGCACGAACAGCGCCGCAACGAAACGCGCCAGTGGAATCCATTCGGACCCCCTTGGACGCGAACGGATGGCGATGTGCAAAGAAACAGCCACCGAGACCGGCGCGCTCCAAGAAACACGCACCACCCGGCCAGTACCCCAAAAGAATACCACCTGGACCATAACCTGTCGGGGTGTAGATCCAGTAGTGGATCAAGGTGTCCAGGACGGTGGCGTTTTGAGAGTCCAACCGTTGTCCGCCCACCCGTGGCGACACAGATGTGACCATGCTATGTAAGACATATAGCGACACCAAGGACCCACTGCACGCGTTTGAGCACACAAAACACACCCCTAACAAAAATCCAACAGAGGTTAAGTGACCGTAAATCGGACACTACAGGGGTACCGAACTGGGATAGCCGAACTACGGATCTTTCAACCTCTGTTGGAATGTGTTCGTTTAGCCTTCAGGGTCTTGAAAATTGGGGGTGAGACCACCAAAAATGGTCACCGCCTTGCTGTTTCGCCGCCGTCTCAACATCCAAAGCTCAACCCAGGCGGGGCGGCTAGGTCGATTGGTCTGCCCCTCCTGCTGCGTCGCCGAGCAAGGATCGACTTCGATGTCACCAACTCAAAAGCCAAAGAGCCCCAAACGAAGCAGCTCCCTTCAGCCGATAGCACTGCCGTGCAAAAGCGCCCGCAGGACACGCGGTGCGGGACAAAGTCCAAGGCCTGGCGGGCTTCACGAATGGGCCGAGGACGATGGGTTGCACGGTGCTGGATCGATCTCAGACGATCTCCCTTCCGCCTCCACGAGTCCCACCCCAAAAGCACCAGTCCACGGCACGGTGCTTGGAGACCTCGGGACCTCGGGACCAGCGAGTTGCTTTGGTGCCCAAACATGCCATCTAGCTAGCCGAAGGCCCCGAAGGCCAGGAGGTGACCTGAATCCGTGGATGTTGTTCATCACTCACCCAAACGGTCCATGAAAACCAGGCCTGGATCCCGGTGGCTGGGGATGGGTGAAGGGTCCAAACACCTGACGTCCGACCCCTGGGGGGTTCGACCGGGTCAAAGGGCCTGAATGGAGGGACCAGATTTTGCTGCATCGGTGAACAAACAGCGTGTCCTGTCGACGTGTCCTGTCGACGCGGGTGTTCAAAATTAAGATGTATTATTGTGATATATTAACATTATATATATAACTACAACCAAGGTGTGACGGCCTACCTCAAGCCTCACAAACAAAGGACAACAAAGGTACCATCTCTGTGTTAAAAGGCCTGATGGGATGGCGTCCTGTCTTCCTGTCGTGGGATTTTTAGCCAATGCTCATGAGTCACCAAACAAGTCAAACGTCACGAAGAGAGTGGATCTCCACCGAGTGGGGGGTACCTCAAATGGCTATGGGTCAAGACCGGGGCACCCTGGGCCAAACGGTCAAGTGAACAGATTAATCTATGACGGGCTAACCACCTTCCATGGTTTGGTGGGTGAGGTCTTGTTTTCCACATAGTCTTCATCGTCTTGGGAAAGAACTGCTTTACATATGCAGGTGGCATTTCCAGGTGCCTCTTCAACCAATCGGATGGCTCCTCGATGCCACCAAACCCCCTCCGTACGCGCCTGCTCCTGCGGCTCCAGCAACATGTCCACCTCCCGGTGAGTTGGTTGGGGAGTTTTTGAGCTGAATTGATCACAAAGAGAAATGGTACGTCCCAGACGCTCAAAACCACACAACCCGACTGGTCCCTCAAAACCATACCGTTTTGAGAGTCCAGACCCCTGCATATGAGGGTCCAGGAGCGTCTGGGCTGAATAAAAAACAAATCTCAATAGATAGAGAAATCAATCAAAGCAATCCCACAACTCCTGGCAGCGTATGGAACAAAAAGCTCCCTTGCCGTTTCATCTCCCTTGCAGCACTCCTCATCCTCCGTGTCATCCGTGGGCAAAAAGCTACCCCAAAGGAAGAGCCGATCGCTGCTCGTGAGCACCTGGGCCGTGGCCGTGGCGCGGTGCCAAGTTCGTTCGGCGGGGAGGCGAAATGGGCTTCGCCACCTCCAACCGATGGCCGCGATGGCCTTCACCGTACTATATAGCAATGGCCTCCAACCTGATAGAAGGGGTCTCCAACCGAGGCTTGCCATGCGCAGCTCGAGGCTCGGCTTTCGCGAACAGCCAGTGTTGCCGGGCTTTCGCTCCAAAACGATACGGACATGCCGAAGGAACGAGATCAGGTCGAAATGGGAAGCCGTGAAAAGGAAAGCATGATCAAGCACCTCACCAGCATGCACGTTTTTTTCCTGCATCGAAGTACAGATACATCCCCCTTGTCTGGTGGTACTGTACTTACTACAGCTTTTCCTTTTATAGAAACAGATACTCATTTCATAGAGGACCAATCATGGGGGACAATTTACAGATACATGATCTTCCCTACCCAATTGGCCCCCAGAACGGCCCCAGTGGCCCACAAATCGAACAAAGGTTCCTGTATACCCAGACACGACTAATGGGACTGGAATCTGCCTGCATTGACCCCTGAAATCAACTACCCCAATTGATCGGCATATGTGCCAGTCCCAGACAGGTCGTGTCCGGGATAGATGTTCGTGTCAAAACCCATTTGAAGCTGGGCCGCTCCTGCTCAACGCTGCCGATTAGACCCCTGTTCATTCTCCAGGCCTGAAAAACCTTTGGGTGGGGCAGAAATCAGGAAAAAGATGGGAGAGGCATAGCTTATAGATGATTTAACTGAAATTTAACTTTACAAGTTGGATCCAGTTGGCGTCATTGGGCCAGCCAAATTCTTCGAAATCAACTGTTCGTCGAAAAGGTGTGACATGTTGCTCGAGTAGGTGTTGATCAACGGCAGCAAGTCCTTGTCGCCCAGGTAAAGCACAGTTGTCGAAGAAGAATCTAGGTGTGCAAAAAAGAGTCGGGATACCCCTATGAATTAGATGCGGACAAATCCCCGTTTAAGGGGGCACACGGGCACACGATGAATTTCTGGTACAAACCCAGGATCTTCGGTGGCATCTACTTCAAAAAACCCGGCTGAATGAACACGCTGCTGAACTCAAAGAAACTCACCTGATTCGTCCAGTTGGCGGCGTTGGACTTTCATGTGTGCTCCTCTCATACAAAGACCCTCGTCTTTTCTGGGGGGGAGGCCTTCCACACCCCCCAATCACCTCTGCCACCCTCGATGCTCGATGCTCTTCCGCTGGGGAACAGCAGTGTGGGCACCCACAGCCACGCATGAAAGGCGACAGTCCTGCGGAGATCTTCGATCGCAGCAACCGAGGAGCCGCTGCGCTCTGCTACGAGTTCTAGCACATGTGTTTGCTCAAAAATACATCAAAGGACAAATCCACGAAGGAAGTGACTGGTGGATTCCTGGCTGCGCCAGCAGGCCATGGCTACACTTTTGCTGTGCAGCGGCCAAGCCCTGGGCTTTCTATAGAATCTATACTCAATCACTCAAGAAAAAACGGGCAAAAGTTCCTCCCAGTCACCTCAAACTCACTCAACTCCCTCCCCTTTCGACGTCACGTCCTCGAATCCGGGCACCGGGCTCAGCTCAGGGCAGGCTGGGCGATCGAGGGCCTCTAAGCCTTTGCCCAAACGCCCATCCTGGACCGAGCTGCAAGGGCCATGATCCCCCCCACTTCATAGGGGAAACCTGCCCAGACACACCATGGGACTGGCATATTTACATACATTGACCCCTAAAACTACCCCAAGGTAGGTAAATATGGCATGCATGGAGTGTCTGGGCTACATGGGTATGTGGGTTTCGAGAACTGGTGGAACGAACACGGTCACGCTCCACTCGCCATCCGTGCACGGGAGGGGGTGAGGGGATTGGTGGGGGGGATTTCCGTGGGCATAGGTATAAAAAACAAAGTATTTATCGAATCAAAAACATATTTACCGAATCAAAAAATAAATATTTACTGAATCAATAAAAAACATATTCATTGTGCGATGAAATCCCTTGGAATTCCCAGTCGTGTAGGTGGCCGGTCCTCTGGTCCGCTGGTCCCCTGGTCCTCTGGTCCCGTGGTCCGCTGGTCCCCTGCAGTCCGCTGGTCCTGGTCCGCTGGTCCCCTGCAGTCCGCTGGTCCACCGGTCCGCTAGTCCCTTGGTCCTCTGGTCCTTCGTCTTTCTTTCTTTCTTTCTTTTTCGCAGCTGTTCTCCTTTCTCTTTTTTGCTTTTAAATTTTGCTTTTCCTTTTGTTCGCTTTGCAGAGAGTAAACCAAACAAGGAAGCAAGCAAGCAAGCAAGCAAGCAAAGCAAAGCAAAGCAAAGCAAAGCAAGCACGCACGTACGCACGCAAGCAACAAGCGAGGGCTGCTCACCTTTGGATCTGGTGGGTCGTGGGGGGGGGGGCTGCGCCCCCCCGCAACCCCCCCCGCGCCACGAAATCTGCACTTCATTCCCGACACCCGCGCCTGCCACGAAATCAATATTTTGATGTGAACTCCCCGGTGCAAAATTTTCTAACCAAGCAAATATGCCTCCTCTATCGACTCTATCTATCTATCTATCTATCGATCCATTTATCGATCCATTTATCTTTCTATCTTTGTATCTGTCTATCTGCAGTTCAACATCCACAAAGTACTACACCTGCCACCAACTCTACACTTCCACATCAAAAAGTCCTGCACATGCCACGAAATCTGCACTCCAAGGCCCACAAAGTCCTGCACCGGCCACCAACTTTGCACTTCCACATCCACAAAGTCCTGCACCTGCCACGAAATCTGCGCTTCAAGGTCCACAAAGTCCTGTGCCTGCCACGAAATCTGCACTCCAAGGGCCACAAAGTCCTGCACCTGCCACGAAATCTGCACTTCAAGGTCCACAAACTCCTCCGCCTGCCACGAAATCTGCACTCCAAGGGCCACAAAGTACTGCACCTGCCACAAAATCTGCACTTCAAGGTCCACAAAAAGTCCTGCGCCTGCCACTGGCCACCAACTCTGCACTTCAACATCCACAAAGTCCTGCACCTGCCACGAAATGTGCATTGCAAGGTCCACAAAGTACTGCACCTGCCACGAAACACTGCGACTATCACTACGATACTGCTGCTATTATAGTACTGTTACTGCTACTGCTATTTGGATTTTTTTTTGATACGTTAAATCTTGTGGCATCAAGCCTCCGTTCTTCGCTCTGTTGTGCGTTACCTGGAAAACTCCCTCCGATGCGCATTTTACCCCCGATATAAGAAGACCAATGCAAGCTCCTTAATCCGACGGGATATCACCGTAGTCTTGTGGGGGGGCATCTCTGCGCGTCCTAATATGCCATTTGCTGATCTGCTGATTGCGAATCTGACATCCTATTCGTCTATGCCGACTCAATCGTATCCACTTAATGTGCGCGTGCTTCCGACTCTCAAAGCTGCTGATAACCTTTGTCCCAATCCGCCTTACTCCGATATTCCACACCGAAAGAGGCACAACCTCTATCAAAAGCTCAAGAAATGCCTTCGCTTGAAACATAACCTTGCAGATCTTGATGTTCCAAATTAGGTGCTTGTAGATGTGGCCGGTAGTAATTCATTTTTAAACATGTCACCCATCCTCACTGTGTCTTACACCGGTGCTGGATTTTGGTGTGATATATGTTTCTTTGTGTACATGATGTTTTGTGTCGTACATACCTACTCTCTAGTACCCCACTTTTAGTGGAAGGGCGTGAGAGGCGAACCCTGGATAGCGAGTTGGTGGATACGTTAAATCTTGTTTTTTTGATCTCTCACCCATTTCCGTGACCGTTTTTGGGGGCGATCGTTCTTGGACGTCTGGAAACGGGGCGAGGGCACCGGGTTGCCTTCTCAGCCGAGCCAAAGGCGCACGAGTGCGCCATCTTTCCACACATCGTCTGCGGTCGACGTTTCCCCTTTGTTCTCCAGGAACCCCACCTCGCTGGCGCCCCAGGTCAGCAAACTGCCCCAGACCTTGTCGCCCTCTTCCTCGCCAATGACCTGACAAGTGAGAAGCGGAAAACGCGTCGTGTTTCTAACACACCACGGCGTCACGGCTCTTGACTGCTCATTCACACCAATCCTCGTGGTCTTCCATTTCTTGGGGGGTAAGCTTGGTCTTCACATGTGGATGGTATTTCGATGTATTTCGTCGGGCATCTTCACGAATCTCAAGGGTCTGCAGAAACACTCGGCACCTGGGTCCAATCACGATGACTCACATGATCGGAGTGTTGTTTAAACAGGCAACACTCCTTCCCCGACACATCGGTGCAATGGCAACAATGCAAAGCGGAATCACAGGAACTGACTCCTGACCTAGTTTGCCTGGAAAATTATGGTTTAACCTTCTTCCACTTCCACCTTCCGTTCATCCGGTTGGTTTTTGGACACCCCGAATGACCTCTATAGAGGCTATATTCTTAGACACCTCTTGGAAGGTCCTGGTTGTTCTTGCTTGAGTGGGGAAACGAATCCCCCCCAAAATAGGGTCAACGCTTTTGCACTTCCTGGGTAGGGGTTTCCCCTCCCGAACCACACCGCTGTTCTGTTTCCGGGTGTGTTCAATCGACGACCACGAGACCTTCGCCTCGCCTTCTAACCCTATATATAGGGTTGGGATCCGAAACCAATGGGTTTATGCTTTGGGATCCGGATCCAAATCTTTCCCCTGAGACGCATCACTCAGCCTCGCAGGAGGGACCCAGCATGGCACCCAGCGGGTCGGCGCGTTGAAAACGGCCGGATTCGGCGTCGATGCCTTCGAGACCATCTGTGGGAGACGAAGCATGCGACGGCGACTTGCAGGCGTACACCTTCAAGACTTCACAGCGCTCACTTTGTTGAGCCTCAGACCTCTGCCTCCGGAAGGCTCTCTACCTCGCCTCGCCTCGTGGCTTGTTGGTCGTTCGGTGGCGTTCAGCTGCTCAGACCTTCATCTTTCGATCTCAGCTGTGCCCTGCTGTGACGGCGCAAAAAGCGGAGAAACTCAGAGAACGTTTTGCTCGATTGATCCATCAGGTCCACCTGAGTTTACCGGTGAAAGTGAAGATCGCACAACCAGGTCCACCAGGCACACAGGCTTTGTGGTATCACAAGAACAGGTGCATATCAACACTTACACTTTGAGAGGATTGATGTTCACTACCGCATCTTCCTAAAGGTATTGCTTGAGAATCCTGTACACTCGTCTTGGAAAGAAGATGCGGCAGTCCAAACTTCTGAGGACCTCCCAATGAACAATTCAGAGGTTTCAAACATGAATCATCATTATTTCCATCCAAAATGGTGGGTTTGTACCGTGCAACGATTTGGACCCTTTTCACCGTTCACCTGGCCGTTCACCTGGCTGGCCACACGGCTGGCCTCCTGGAGGAAAATCAAGCTTGCCCTGGACCACTCGGCCCAACCTTCCTCGTTGCACGCCCGCCTGGGGACGAAGGACGGACGCCCGACGCGGGTCGCGGACGCGGACGCCGACGCCAGGATAGCATGAGGTGCCCCCCTCCGTGGGGGTGTCGCGCATGGTTGCGGGTGATTGGATGGAAATAGCATGTGCTCTTCGAAGGTGAGGATCTTTTTCGTCGGTACTAGAGCGACTTATATTGGACCTATATATTATATATATTTAATCCTTTAAGTACTCATGAAGGAACGAGCTCTAGAACGCGATATTCGCATGGGAACGTCGTGTGGCCCAGTGGGCCCCGCTCCGATCAAGGGATCCGATAGGCCCCGGCCTGGGTTTTGACACGAGTGGATCCAGACGACCAGGGCATGGACCCTTTGTTGGACAACCCTGATGTGAGCACAGCGGTCCTCCCGGACCTCCCCATCCAAAAAAACCGACTAGTCTGGACCCTTGGTTAAACCGGGCGGGCCCAACCTATTTTGATCCGGACCCGGGCTGTCCAGAGTCCGTCCCCACGGTGCCCCGAATCCGAAACCGGCGCAGGGGGGAGGACAGGGGTAGTAGGAGTACCGGGACGCCCATCCTTTCCATTTGACTCCGGAGTGCAGGGCCTCTGAACAGGGCCTCTGAACAGGGCCTTTTCAGGGCCAAGGTGCACTGCCACCCAGCTTGCTGTTGGGCGCGAAGCCTCCAGGAAGCTGGGCCCCGAACACCTGGACCTTGGCTTGGTGTTCGGGTGGATCCCTTCGACCTTCGTGGGTCCGAAGTCCAACAAGTCGGGGTCCAACTCGCTCAGGGCAGAAAACAAGTCCCATCAACCTCGTGCCTCTTCGAAGACATTTGGGGTGAGGAGGAGCCCATGTACAGACCATGAACCGCTCATCCCGTGCTTCGAAGAAGAATATCTTCACCACGTTTGAGAAGTCGCGAGAAGTCATAAGCCGACTGTTAAGTACTGTCCAAGGTGGTTAAATGAAGGAGGTGCTTCAAAGATCCTTCCAGTTTGTGAACAGCTAAATACCTTGTTTGGTGAATCGCAGGAGCTCGTACTCGTGGGCACCAGCTCACCTGCCAAGCCAAGCAGCTGGCGCCAAGAAAGCTGGTCCTCTAGCAATTTCTAGCCATTCAAAACTGGATGTTCAGTCATTAGAATTTAGTATATTAATAACTAAATCTAATCAATATAGAGGACTATATTGGTTGTAATGTTGGTCAAAAGTCTAAACCCACGTGCCGACCCACGTTTCCAACTGTGGAAAACCCAACCGAACCCAACCGTTTTATATAGATATATACATATATCAGCGTATTCCAACCGCCAGATACACTGCCAACCGCGAATCAGACTCCAAGCTGCGCATGCAAAGGTAGAGGATAGTAGCAATCATCGCAATCATCTCCAGCTGCCTTAACTCTACCAGCTCTGCACTATCTGCCGTTTTTCCACCCAACAACCCGACGGGCGGTCCCGGGATTGGGGGTCCTATAGATTTCTGCAGTTCCTCAAGCTCCAAACTACTCCCCTTCAAGACTAATGAACAGCTCAAAGCAAGCCTGTTGACCAAAGAGCCGGTCATTGGGCTCTGCTCCAAGCTTGCGAAAGTGTATACTTCTAGCGCATTTCGAAACCGTACTAGCCTTTTGAAGAAAAACAATGAACATTTTTAAAATGGATCAGATTTGATTGAGGATCCAAGTTTCAATCTTGAGAGGCGTTGGGAGACCTCTTCAGAACTACGAATCCAGCGGGCATTTGTTGGCTGCACAGTAAATATGACATAGAAACTTATGATTGTCCACCCGTTGAGATACCTGTAGTGTAGATAGACTCTTCATCTTGATGAATAATACTCCCCATATGAAGAGGTGTTTCCAGTCCAGGTGGGGGATGTGTTTCAAGAGTCTACATGACACAAACGATCAATGTTTCGTTTCTTCAACTGGGAGTATCAACCAAGGAGGAATCTCCATGAGGAAGTTTCTGGATGAGCACCCACTATTTGTTCACGGTCTTCAACAAAGGGGTGCGAGAGAACAAAGGATGCCGAGTGTTTCTGACAATCCATTGATGCGTGGAAACACAGTCCCAACTAACCAGAAACAGTTCTGGATGTTTCCCCATGTTTCCCCAGTCCCAGCCACTTCCAATTGCAAAAGGCATGGGTTTTAATCAAGGGTCCCCCAAACACCCAAACTTGTTGGTCAAAGAATCACACATAGAGTGGACCGAGGATCGCCGGCATGGCGTTCCAACCCCCTGGGTTCGGTTCGGAAAATACACCCGGCCAGGGCGAGACCTTACGAATTCCCGATATTCAAATTATCCCTGGACCATCCATAGCAAGGGTCGAACCCAAAAAAACAGGAGTTTGTACCCTCAGAACCCTTGAGGGGGAGGGGATCCATAGGTATTGAAAAATACACCACCCACATATTACGATCTAGTCCAAGGAACCACCTCTGCAGCCGCTAACCTCACGGCGTCGACTTGAAGACGTCCACGTCAAAAGGTCGTGACATGGTGTGACTTGGGGGGATTCTCGAATGGCAGCTGCCACAAGAATTCAACTTCCACACCTCCAACACGCACAAAGGACTGCGCCTGCCACGAACAGTGACGACATAGCAAAATTTGTACCACACCACACGTTTGGAAAGACTTCCTGACTTTCTGGGCACTCTCACATCCACCAAAATCACCATTTCAGCTGAGACTTGTCACGAAAACACAGCTTCGACGCAACACCCTGAAGCGCAAAATCCCAATGCCACAGCCACATCCCCACCCCAAAAACACCTCCCTCCAAACGCCAATCTCAATGTGACTACGCAGAAAACTGCGGATCTCACAAAACGCTGCACCTGCGCACTGCAATAAGGCTACTAAAAAACAACACACACAAACACCAAGAAAAGTCAAGGTCATTAGTCCACTCTCTCTCTCTCTCACTCACTCACTCACTCTCCCTCACTCTCACACTCAGTCAAAGCCTCCCATGACCAAATTTCACACTCAATTATCAAGTTTTACAAACCAGACACGGGTCACATATGTTCAAAAACCGGTTGTTGAATACCCAATTTTTGATTTCAACAAAGCGAATTATACACTGAACCCACGTGGTAGTACGTGTGCAACCTTTCTGGCTCACAACATTTTCAGAAACATTTTGCTCCAAACAGTCCAAACATATACATAGCTCTGAGACAATTGGGTTTGTGTAAATTTCAAAGGGACAACTATGTACCCCCTCATCTGTATGCCAAAACGGTTTCGCTGACCAAAGCTGCCATTTTAGCTTAGACTTCTCACGCAGATACAGCTTCGACGCACCAACCTGAAACGCAAATCCCACTGTCACAGCGACCTCCAACACCTCCAACAGACCACCCTCCGCACTGTCACAGCGAAGGAAACTGAGGATCTCAAAAAACTCCGCACCTGCAAAACACAGAGAAGAGCATGTTGCACCGCAAGTGTGACACCAAACGTGACCAGGGAGTTGTTTCTGGTTGGCGGTTCTCACGGACGAAATATATGAGTTCGCGGGTCGAAAATTCCTCCCTTGCGGGAAAGGATCTGGAGGGGTTTTCGATGGAGGCTGATCGTCAGATTCATCACAAATACCGTGCTTTGGGGATGTTGGACTTTCGAGCTTGAATTCCTGCGCAGGCGCAGCGTTTTGTGAGATCCGCAGTTTTGTGCGCAGTCAGATTGGGATTGGCGTCTGGAGGGTGCTGCTTTGGGGTGTTGGATGCAGCTGTGGGATTTGCGCGTGAGGCCGTTGCTTCGAGGCTGCGTTTTCGTGACAAGTCTCATCTCAAACGACGATTTTGGTGGATGGGACTGCACGGAATTGTGTCGAGAAAGTGTCGAACTCATTCCAAGCGTGTGGTGCAAATTTTGCTGAAGCTACGAACATTTGTGCGTGTTGGAGGTGTGGAAGTGCAATTCTCGTGGCAGGAGCAG